TGTAACTATAAATTCTAACAAAAAAGCCCACCACATTCAAACATATTTGTTGCAGTATCACTTGTAATACCAAAACTGGAAATAAGCTATATTCCAGAAAGGGTCCCAGTTTGGTACATTCATACAATAAAGTATTAAGAGGCCAATAAAATAAAATAAAATTCCAAAGATAATTTAATGATGTCAGTAAATACTTGTTTTTTTAATATTAAATGAGAAATACTATCTAATTTTTTAACACTTTTGTAAGCACATTTGTATCTTTAAAACTTTGAGGTTAAAAAAATATAACCCTAAAATAATCAAAAGGTTAATAGATATTTCTGACTGCTTTATTGTCAGTGATTATTCTTTTCTTTTTTAAAAATATTAAGTTTTTTAAAATGTTTTATTTATTTATTTTTGACAGAGAGAGAGAGAGAGACAGCATGAGCAGGGGAGGGTCAGAGAGAGGGGGAGACACAGAATCCGAAGACAGGCTCCAGGCTCTGAGCTAGCTGTCAGCACAGAGCCGACACGGGACTCTAACCCATGAACCGTGAGATCATGACCTGAGCCAAAGTCAGATGCCTAAGCGACTAAGCCACCCAGGCGCCGATCTGATTTTTATTTTCATTTTTCAAATTATCTGCAATAAGCGTGGGTTAGTTCTAAGGTCCAGAAATGATGTAAAGAGAACTTAGTGTCTCTTTCAGCTGGGATGCTAAGTTTATATGTTATTTATGAATAGTGTCTTCCCGTCCACACAGAGGCTCCTAGCTTCAATATGTTTTACAGCAGATGCTGCACTGGCTCATGAGTCGTATGTACGGTTCCTCGGGAACATTTTGTACCATGGTCTACGCATCTTTCTGGTGTTTCTGTTCTCTGGCAACGTGTGGCCAGTTTGAAAATTCCAAAGTATTCCCATTAAAAGTACAGATCATGTGAATACTGGACTTAGTTTTCACCGGAAAACAATTTTTGAACGACACTTTGAGGACAGATAACCATCCATTTCTAAAACCATGAGATCTTTTTGTAAAGACATAAATGTCACCGTGAAAGGGTTACAAAGAAGACCAAGTTAACAGTGATGAACTAAACTTACGCTGTCAATGCAGCGTCCAAACAGCAACAATAATGGTCTGCTGTATTTCACATCGAGGTTTCACGGACATGTTGGTTTCTAATTTACACAATGGGTCTCAATTTGCTACCACATGTCTTTGGAGGAGGCACCTAAAATCAAATTATCAGGCAAAGAGAAATGTTTAGGCAAATTTCCCCAAGAAGCGTGGCATTTCCGCATATTGCAATAATGTTTGGGCTTTTGATTTATACATGTGGGGGCAACTAGGAACCTAAGACAATGTTTTGGTGGAATTTGGACGTTCAAGTCTTGTCAAGCAGTGGGGCTCCAGGGGAGCGGATGGGTAGGTAGACTCTATCAACGAGCCAGTTCAGCCATGAGGTCCGTGGCTGGACATCAGCAAGTGCCATCATGAAGGAAGACAGGTTAGCTGTCTGTAGGTAGCTTTGGGTTCTCTTCATTGATTTCTCACCTTTGTCCCCTCTCCCACTAAGCAGAACATGACTCCAGCTTAAAGAATTTCCTGACTATTGACCTTTAGATGGAGACAGCACAGCCTTTTCGAGAACTAGTTCTGCACTGAAGTCAGCAATAGTTATCCCTCACCTGACAAAGATATCACCACATTGATTTCATCAGTGCCCGGAGCCTGCCTTCAAACCTAGGTTTTTGAGTAGGTAGACCAGGTGCCCACCCACGTTCTGTGATTTAAGGAGCCCTGGGAAAATCCTCCACACAAAAGATGTTTCCCACTGATGCTTGAAGGGCCATCGTTGGTGATTCATTTGTATGAATACCTTGTGCTCTTTCTCTGAGGTCCTTTTTAAAAATAAGATACTGTATTCTTATGAAGGTGTTAAACGTGAAGTCACTAATATTTGAAGGTGGGTGAATTGACCATATTGCCCTAATAGAAAAATCAATGGATACCACACATGACTTTGAAGAAGTGGTGTTTGTGACCCATCTGGAAGAGAACTCATCCTTAGTAAACATGACAGAAACTTCACCAACAAAGATATTTCAACAATCACGTTGCATAATGTCAAACACAATAAGGAAATTGCCAACATCCTATAGAACACATAGGCAATTGAATTTGGCTCCACTGTGTGTAGCCAAATTTGACCACCACCTACCTGCCAGTCCTGCCTATTAGGCTGATTACCCCTCAAATCCACTCTGGGCCAAAGCTGATTCAAGGATCTTGTAGGATTTGACTTGGACTTCATCATTCTGGAGAGAAGGAACTTGAAGAACCAGGCTTGCTTATTAGTAAAGGGAGGGTTTTGCCTCCTTAAGGTGCCAACGGAGTTTTTGAGGGCAGCAATCCTCTTTTATCAGAGCCTGGCTAAACATGGCTTCTGGGCCACACTAGAGGAACAATCAGTGGCAGGTGAAGGAATGAATGGCGTTCATGCTGAGTATTCGGTGGACAAGTTGAGCCTTGTTTCAGGCAAACAAATGTCACCTGCATCTCAACATCAAAAATGCAGATGTAGTTTAAACTTTTAGATCACTGATTGGAGATATGTATTTATACACTAAGCGTGCTATTTATATCACTCATTTCTCTGTGTGTGTGTGGGGGGGGGTGTGTTTTCCCCCCTCTGCCTTAATGTAGAAAGTATCTACTGCTGGCAAGACCCATTCCTACTATCTTCACCCCCCCCCCCAGCAGGAGGGAGCCCACATATCATATGTCTAGATAGGTAAAGCTACAATCGAGCTAATAAAATGTTCAATAAAATATGTTTTGTCCTTCCACCTTGATAATCCTTCAGAACCACCTGGAAGGTCTCGTTCACACTTAGAGTTCTTGGATTCTCAGAGTTCTGGGCCGAAACGTGGAAGCGTGAGGCGGGCTGGCCCGTGCCCTCAGCCCACACCTGGGAAGACTCCATCTGCACAAGTGAGGACACCCCCCACCCCACCCCCGGCATAGGCAATTCTGCCCCCCACTCCCCTGGCAAATCGGTCTCCCAGCCCCAGGACTACTCATCACACCAGTGCTGCCTGGTGATGCGGCCTCCTTCAAGTGGGCTGGGGCTCTGTGCGCTGGGGCCGCTCGGCATCCGGGCTGCCCTGAGTGGTGTCCATCCGTGCTTCCGGATCTTCAATGTACTACAATCCACTTGGGAATCTTGCTAACACCTATAGATCAGAGGGCAGAACCTGCATTTCACAAGCTTCCGGGTGACGCTGCGGCTGCTTGCTTGTGGGCCGCACCGGGCAGCGAGCCGAGCCCCGGGGGGCCCTGGGCCCTGGACGGCCGTGTCCCCTTGGCTCTCAGATGCTGCGGCCTGTGGGCGCTGGCCAGGTCAGCGCCAGACGCCTCTTGCCTGATCTAAGGGCGGTTCTGGCCCACGTTCCCATCGCATCACCGGGCTCTGCCCCCACAGTGCGGGCCTGGTCCCCCCCCAGCTCTGCGCGGCTGCCTTTGATCTCCCACCCACTCTCCCCAAATCCAGTTTCTCTTGGCTCCTTTCCCTGAAGTGTCCCACGCCTTCCCCGGGTTTCTCTTACGCCACAAAACAAATTGTAAAAAGAACATCTCAAAAATACTGAAAATTAAGGCTGATGAAATCGTGTTTTTGTTTTCTTGGGACCCAAGCAGGCAGGAACAACCCTACACGCAGCCTCTCCGGGGCCTGCTCTTGTTTGGTAACAATATCGTATCTGCTCGCTCGTTGCCTGAAATCACGACTTCCAAACAGAAACGCTGGCTGCATGAGAGCAGACTGGATTTTCCTCCCCTATTTTTATTTTGACAAGGCTGTGAAAGCTGCTATCTCGCCATCTAATGGGATCAACTCGGCTGCTAAAAATAACTCCTGCAAGTCTGTGTTACAACGGGAAATACCTCTCCCCATTCCTGCCTGTTATTCGGAGGAAGCTTAATCCTTCGACTTGTGTTCAAGTATTTGCACTGGTTTGTGTTCTTTTCTTCTTCCAAGGCTGTTTTTCTCTATTTGCCCGAGTTATTTGAACAGGTGGCTTTGCACAACCTATGCTAATGTGAGGCTTTTGTCTGCTTTGAGATTGCACAGGGAGTCGTTTATGGGAGAAATGTGGCTTCCTTGCTACCCGATTTACACCGGCTCCGATAATCGCCCTGCACTAACTGCAGTGCCAGCCGCAAGGTCCTCCTCCCACGGCGGCGGGCCCCGAAGAGCAGAGGCGCCGCTGACCGCAAGGAGGCACGAATCCACCTTTTCCTCTTTCCTAGCGCACGTGACGAGCAGCCAAGGGCCGCGCTGCTGGCGTGGTGTGGCTCAGGGCTGGGGGCCCCCCTGGCTCTGTCCGGACGTTGAGCGGACAGTAGGGATCCCCGCTGCGAAGGGGTGGGGGTGGGGGGCCCTCGCCGAACGCGGCCAATGTCGTCGGTGCAGGTGGGCGCACGAGGCCTCCCGGGGAGCCGGGCACACCGCGGCCGCCCGCCTGCGCGCGGTTCCGGGGTCCCTTTGTCCGGGGCCCCCTCGAACGGGGGCAGCGGGCGCGGGCCCGGAGCCGCGTCTGGCGGGCGATCACAGGCGGGCGCCCCGGGGACGCTCGGCGCGCGCGCTCCCTGGACGCAGATCACAGGCGCCCGCCCGGCCCGGGAGCCCGCCTGCTGCCTGGAACGCGATCACACGCCGCGCCTCCGGGCCCCGGGGGCGGGGAGGGGCGCGGCACGGGCCCCGGGGGAGGGCGGCCGCGGGCGCGTTCCCACGGGGAGGTCCGGGGCTGCGCGAGGGCTGCCCCGGGGTCCCCCGCCGGTGTCCTCCGCCCGTGGGAGGGAGGGGCCGGGCACAGGGGGCAGTCCTCCGGACGCTGGGGCCAAAGGGAGGCCGCCAAGGGGCCCCAGGAAAGGCCGTGTAGACGCCCCGCGATCACTGCCTTGCGATAGCCACCAGTCAGCGGGGTGCTGGGGATGGGCTTTTCTAGAACGTGTTTTGAGGAAGCTGCATTCTCAGTTTCCTGGCCATAAAAGAATGAAGTGCTATGATGGAATCGGCAGGCAGGCTTGGAAATAGTCTAAAGGGATCCTGCCCACAAAAGTGGGTGTGCGGATGCCCAGTTGGTTTACCTAGCTCATCACTCCTCACCTGTGCGCTGCAGGTGGGCTCCGAACTGCCTTCCCTATCTCATCCGTGTGTGTGTGTGTGTGTGTGTGTGTGTGTGTGCGCGCGCGCGCGCGCGCTGGGGGGCAGGGGAAGTGCCTGGCACTGCTCAGCTCTATTGATGGCCCATATACCTACCTTGACCATGTGGCCCCTCATCCCTACAGGAGGGAGGAAAGCTGGCTTCTGGTGCATGAATGTAGACGTTCCCATCCAAAGGACAAAGGCCACAAGGAACTGTTGACAGGTAATCCCCGCATGCATATGCTCACCAAACATTACCTGTAAACAAACCAAATGGAAAGTCTAGAAAATAGGCAGTGCTGTTTTCAAGTTTATGGAGGTAGTGGGACTAACGAAAAAATTATTTTAGGGGCACCTAGGTAGCTCAGTAGGTTAAGCATCCAACTTCAGCTCAGGTCATGATCTTGCAGTTGGTGAGTTCAAGCCCTGCATGGGGCTCTGTGCTGACAGCTCAGAGCCTGGAGCCTGTTTCTGATTCTGTGTCTCCCTCTCTGCCCCTCCCCTGCTCATGCCTTGTCTCTCTGTGTCTCTCAGAAATGAATAAACGTTAAAAATTTTATTTTAAAGTGTTATTGAATTCAGTTTAGCACTCAAGAGGCATTTGCTAATCACCAGAGCACAGTAGTGCAACTGTATGTGTACTCCTAGTAGGTGGCATTGTGGCTACCTTCTTGGTGTCCATCCACACCTCTCCCGATGAGTGTCAGCCTGTTATAGCTGTTTTGGGTTGGCCAAAGCCAATGGTTCACAAACCCGGGGATAAATTAGAATCACCTGGGAAGCATCTCTGACACCCAGCAACTCCTATAGCAATTGAATGGCAATCTCTGGAGTGTGGGGGCGACTCTCACGTTGACAGTCTCTGGTACAAACCATCAGAGGACTCTCAACACTTTGCTGCAGTGATTGGCTTAGAGATGGGCGGTGGCCTGAGGCCTAAGCCAATCATCGTATGACGATGTAAGTGGCAGGGATGAAATATGGGGAACCAGCAAGAATATAAGCAAAAATAGGGAAATATGAAATGCACTGTATGCAAGAGATAGTAGGAGGTTCAGAAGCCAGAAACACAGAGGGTATGTTATGGAAGGTGGTTGATGACAAGGTTGGAAGACAAATTTAAGAGTGTATTATTAAGAGCTCTAACTGGCGTAGCATATGGATTTATGTTACGGGGGAAAGAGAACAAAGATTATTAAGCCTAAAAATTACATAATCAGACTTGGTTCTTGGGAAGGTAATTTTGGTGTCACTGTGGAGTAGGGATCTAAATGGAGAGAGATGAGGGTCCCTAAGTTAATCAGAGGACGCAGTGTCTGGGGCAGAAATGCCTAGGGCCATGTCACTCGAGAAGTGTGATGTTGGTATGGAATCCTTCTGTAGAATCCTTCTTAGTTATCTTCTTCACAGTGACCAATGTTTTCTAAGGAGGAGGCACAGAAGGAGGGAAGGAAATTTTCCCAACTGTTTTTTTTTTTTTAACTGCAGAACAACGTGAAAAATTATAACATGTTGTCAGGGTATAATCAGGAGCTAAAAAAAAATATCCCAGCTTAGATGCAAGAAATTATCAAAATTTCACTGATATGCCTTTTAAAAGTGGGTTTATTGAAGTAAACTATATAACATGAAATGCACCAATTTTAAATGTGCAGTTTCATGAGTTTTGAAGTGTGTGTAGTCATGTAACCAACACCGTAAGCAATGTATGTAGCATTTCCATCACCCCTACAAGTTCTCTGTGTCCCTCGGAGGTCAAGCCCCTTCATACACCTCCAGCTCTTGGCAACCACTGGTCAGGTTCCAATCCCAACAGTGTTGCCTTTTCCAGAATATCAGAGAAATGGAATCGGACAGTTTATAGCCTTTTGCAACTGGCTTCCTTCACTTAGCAGAGTGCTTGCTTTTGAAATGCATCCGTGTGATTGGATTTATCAATAGCTAGTTCTTCCTTGTGGCTGGGCAACGTTCCACTCTGTGTATATGTCACAGTCTGTTTCTCCACTCACATTTGGGCTGTGTAGTGAGCTCAAGAACCTGTGAAAATTACTTCCTGTGACAACAGATGTGATTGAGTTAAGGATCAGGAGGAGGTCTCTGTCCTGGGTTATCTGGGTGGGCCCTGAGTGCCATCTCCTATGTCTTCATAAGAGAGGGGCGGAGGGAGTGTAGAGATGGACCCATGGGGAAAGCAAAAAGGGAGATGCAGCCACAAGCCGGGGAATACGAGGAGCCACCAGACGAGGAAGACAAGGATTCTCTGCTAGAGCCTCCCGAGGGAGAGCCATCCTGCCTGCACCTTGATTTTGGACTTCTGACCTCCAGATCTGTAAGAGAATAAAGTTCTGTTGTGTTAAGCGGTGAACGAGAATTCCAGCTTCTCCACATCCTCACCAACACCTAGTAATGTCAGGAATCTTGTAATACAAGTCCAGACTTGAGGTCTAGCATATAAAAACGTCAATTAAAAAAATTTTTTTTAGCCATTCTAATGGGTGTGTAGTAGTATCTCATTTGGTCTCAGTTCACATGTCCTTGCTGGCTAGTGATGTTGAACACCTTTGCATCTATTTCTTTCTTTGGTGAGAGGTCAGTTCAAATCTTTTGCTCAGTTTTTACTGAATCTCCTTTTTATTATTGAGAACGTATGTGCCTTTAATATACACTATTACTGACAATAACTTATACAAATACAACTTTATATTACTGAACCACTATATGACACACGATGTAAAGAATAAAACAAACATCTTATACTTTGTATCAGACTCTACTGAATAGACTTTTAATGAACTCTATTTTATGTCTCTTTATCAGGTATTAACGTTTGGAACAATGGGGCTGAGTCAGAACTTCATATCAGGTGCAACATCAAGTCTATTCATTTATTTTATTTTTGTTGGAGCACAGAGGGTGTAATAGCAAAGGGAAGAAGAGCACAGATGGCATGTTTTGCAATATTTGGGTATCTTTGCAATGGGCTCCTCCAAAAATCATTAATTATTTCATCTTGGAGAGCTCACCTTCCAGTTTTTCAGGATCTGGAGGCTGAAATTACTCATCTTCAGTCTGAACTGTTCAACTGTTTGTTTGGAGCCATAAGGGCAGTTTTTTGTTAAAACTGCCTCTGTCAGATACATTGATGAGAAAAGTTGAGTGGGATAAATGTTCTAACACATAATGAGCATTGAATACTGTCACAAATATGTGCTGAGATTATAGGATTCCTAACAGGCTGCTAATTATTGAATAGACAGCAGGCCGCCGTGAATTAGCAAATAAATACACTTGCAGATCCTTGGGAATCATACATTGATGTGCATCAGGTAACCTTACTTTCCCGCCTCCCCAGGTGTGTTGTGCCATTTTAAAAGGCAGGTTATCGAAATTTAAAATTGATCATGTATGTACACAAACACACACACACACACACACACACACACACATATATGGAAACTTTGCGTAGAATTTTTAAAAAGAATTTCCCATTAAGGAGAAAACCTGTACCAAGCAGATTCACATCCATTATTTCACAGAATTGTTTCTAAACTCTAGATCAGTTGAGGTCAAACTGTAGCATGTGTAAACATCCCCTGGGGAAAGAGTTTGTGACAGTGCAGTCCCCACCAGGAATTCTGATTCACTGGGTCTGGACAGGGTCTCCCCATGCTGTCCCACTAATTCTGAAGATGTAACAAGCTTTGAGAAAATGCAGGCAGCCCTCAATTGTCTCAAACTAGCATTGTTACATTTTCTGATGGGGTTTCCTCTGATACAGGGGTGGGAATTCAAAAACTTATAGTCTAGTAACAAGTAGGGGGAAGATACAGAAATCCAGGACCATGTAACAACAAGAAATCTCTCTTTTTTTTTTTAAGAGTGCATCAGTACTCTGTACATATCTCAGCATTGGGTATGAATTTCAAACCCTAGGGTTAGTTGGAGCCAGGCTGTCCTGGAGGGAGACGAGCCGGGTTCCTTATCCTTAACCCCCACAATGGCTTGTACATGACCTTCTCAGATCCAAGTGGAAAGGAGCCCTCGGGGACCCCCACCTAGTTGATGAGGGCCTCTCAAGGCTGTGTTGGTTGGTGGCACAATGGGTCCTATCCTGGGGTTCGCTGGGATTCCTCGAAGGTAGCTGTTTCTTCTCTCCCGTCCTCTGTCTTTAGGGACAGGGAAACCCGCACTGGTCACAGAAAGGTTGGAAACCCCCTGGGCTGGATATGTTCAAAGGCACATTTTACAATTCAGTATCATCTACAATGTAAAATTCAACACAGATAACATTTTGGTTAGAGGAGATTGAGAGAAAAGGGAAAGAAATAAAGGAGTATTATTCAGAAAGACAGCAAATGGAGAAATGAAAACAAAATGATTTTGCTTCACGATTTTGTTGCCCGCTTCGATTCGCTGTCATAGGCAGACTTCTAAGACGTTCCCCCAAATTCCTGGCCCCTGGTGTAAGCATGTATTTTCCTAGTTATTCAATAAAACTCCAATCTCGGTGTTGCTGTGAAGGGCTTTGCAGATGTAATCAACCCCAAATAAGTTGACTTTAAGATAGGGAGATTGATGGGTAGGCCTGACCTCAGGGTCTGGAAGTCAGAAAGAGGGAGGTCAGAGACATCAGAAACTTGACCCAGAGCGGGGTGGCACAGTCACTTCGTGGCTCCGTGTGCAGGTTGCCTCTGACAGCCCGCAAGGAAACCGGAGCCTCAGTCCTACAACGCAAGGGACTAGATTCTGCCTTGAACAATCTCAACGAGCTCGGAGGCAGAATCTCTCCTCAAGTCTCTGGACGAGAACTCAGCCTGGCTGACACCTTTATTAATGCTGTCAACCAGCCCTCTGGCCTACAGACCCGCGTGAGCTCGTAAATGGGTGTTGTTGTTTTAAGCCATTTAAGTTAGTGGCAATGCAGCACTAACTGCAATTACACTGCAATGCAGCAGTGTAATGCAGCACTAGAAAACCCATGCACACAATCTCTCTCTTTCTGGACCTCATAGTATAGACATCCTTGTTTTTGTCAAGAATCCTCACCTAGGCAGAAGTTTTACAATTCATTGATCCTTGAATCTGTTGCCTTTCAGGGAATATAAAAAGCTTAAAATCCACATCGCTATTTTGCAACTTCCATCATGATTAGGGGTCTCAAGTGTTGCCTTGCTCTTAGGATGACATTAAGCCAAATTCCTCTCTCCATCGTCTCTAAGTTTA